ATACAGCGATGAAGTCCTATTTTTAGACGGGCCGCTGAAGTCGACGCAGACGGTGATATGCGGACAGATCTTTCCAAAAAATATACAGCATCAAGGCCGACTTTCAAGAACTGTCGTCGCCTTATGGTTTGGATGGCTATCAAGTTCGGAGAGCAACTGATTTGGCAGTCAACAAAAGGCACCACAAATAGCCATACCTTCGTGGGCATAGTAAAGGATGCCCTTGGATACAACAACATTCAAAGACGTCGTATGGACACCGTTATGTTACAAGATAACGCCCCTGTTCACCGATCAAAGGAGGTATGATAATCATTACCCTTAAGAATGAAATTGATTTTTTCAGACGAAAGCTTGCCTTTCTGCCTGCGGCCTGCGGAGCACTTTTAATCCTCCCAATTCTCCAGACGTTAATCCTATTGAAAATATATTTTATTTAATCAAGAGGAACTGGGAGAAGCCAGCTAAACATCTACCAATGGAGCAGAAGTTGGAATTTGTACTCACTAATTGTATAAATCAAACAACCATTGACAACTTGGTTCTTTCCTTTTCCTCCTGACTTACGGCTGTTTTGAACACTAAAGGACAATTCACGAAATATAAGTATGTTAAAAATTTATTAATTTTCGTTATTTTGTACTTTTTTCTCTTTTTCCTACACTGGTGTCACTTGTCAATGACTTAAATAATTGACCTCTCGTACATTGCTTTTTTTTGATTTCACAGTTTTCGATAAAACTTATTAGTTTTCACTTTATAAATGATACTTTATCAATTTAAATATGTTTTCCTTTTGAGATGTATTGTTCCTCTGACGTAGTATCAATTGTGCGTCCGTGAGGTAAACGCTCTGCGAGCTACAAGGGTTTTCGTATGACTTTGAGGGTGTTGTTTGTAGGACTCGCCATACTGTACGCTTTGACCCAATATTTAGTCCGGCTCGTGTATACTTTTTAATGTCTCACAACAACTCCTGCCACCAGATGTAAATATCTATTTGGGGCCTCGTCATTAAACAGATTCCGTGGGGCAGCACATCCAATATTAACGCATCGCTTCTGTTTTTAAGTCTAAAGCAAAATAGTAAATAAAATTCAATCAAATATCAAATTCATCACGAATTATTAGGCGTTCTGCTTTAACTGCCCACTGACATGATGAAGCCAAATACCACATGTTATTTTTAACAGAATGCTCGAGAATTGAACCTATCTGTCATACTGAACATACACCACCAACGTATTCATATAACTGTTCAAATGTTCAACGGATATACTTTGCGTAAAACACAGTTACATAGTAAACATATCCCAGAAGCATTAGAAGAGTATACGCCCTTAAAAATGCACAGCTCAACAAAAACCCTTTGTATAAATGTTTCGTAACTCAGAAACTGAATTCATCAAAGGCATCACAGATGTTAACATTTGTCGTCTCCTAAAATAGGGATTGAAATTTCCCGAGTAGTTTAAATGGTGACTGCAAGACATTTATCTTAAAGATGCCAAATAAAGAATTATAAGAACTGAGATAAATAAGAAGGAATTTATTAACATTAACATAAACTCGCATCAATTACACCATCTCCGCCACTATTTTTGTTACTAGTTCCTTCATAGTCTCTGTTCGCTTTTTGCTTGTTTCCAGGACCTCTGCGTGGTTAGTGACTGCCGAAGAGTCCTCCTCCACCATAACTTTGTTCGTAACTAGGGACATTGCAAAAACTTTGAGGCCGCAGTGGCTGGCAACCATCGTTTCATGAGCAGTGCTCATACCTGTGTAGATGAAAATTCAAATAGTCCCAATTCTCATGTTATTTTCAAATTGTTTCAAAAGTACACTTAAAACGTTTTGGATAATAAACAAGTGTAAATACTAACGTTAAAACTCACCAGCTAGATCACCTCCCAAAACCCTAATCATGCGGGCTTCAGCTGGCGTTTCGTAAGCTGGCCCAGAGCTTGCGAAATAAACACCTTCATGTACAATGGAGGAAATGTTCATTTCATTTGCAATTTTTCTGGCGAGTTCTCGCAGATCTTTCCTATATGTGTTATTCATTGACGGAAAGCGTGTGCCAAAGCTAAAGAGTAATATACAAATTTTCTATACCGTTCATCGTTTGGTCCAACTAGAGCATTTTTTCCACTAAGAGATGGGAAATTGATATGATCCTTTATGAAGACGATGTCACCGACATTGTACTTTGGATTCAAACCACCAGCCGCGTTGGTAACAATGATGTATTCAACGCCAAGAAGTTTCATTACTCGTACTGGGAGGGTGACCTATACCAGTGAGATATTATTGGTCTTTTACCTGGGACATATCGTAACCTTCATATGGGTGGAAACGACCTTGCATAACCATAACATACTTGCCGCCAAGCTTTCCAAAGACCAGGTTTCCAGCATGGCCAACAACTTTTACAGTTATTTAAAGAAAATACTTTACCTGTGCTCCTTGGGAATTGTTTAATTTCTTCATATTTTATAATTACGGGATCGATAACAGTTTCGGCAAGCGTGCCCAGTCCTGACCCGCATATAATGCCAACTCTGGGAGTGCATGGAATTCTTGGTTTAATAATATTACACACGGCTTGCGCATCTTCGTAGGAACCCATTTTGCAACCGTAAATCTGTTTAAATCAGTGCAGCGCGACAACATAATTTGGGTTTATTTATAATGAATATGCGTTTCTTTTTTAAGGTCATATTTTGGAGCAATTAAACAAATATTGCGAAATAATTTCTGTCCCCACGATCTAAAATTATGATAGCTTATGCAACTGTACTGAATCCTACAAACAAAAAACGTGTGCGATTTAAAATTTTCAGCTGTACATTTTCCTCACTATAAAACATCTGACGTGTTTCAAACTATCATGGTGCGCTAAGAGCCATGGCTTGGAGGGTTTCTAACTGAAAATTCGGAACATGCGGTTAGTCCAGTTTATGTCTTCATGTGTGGGATCGCTGACTTGCGGACTGAGAACCAGGCTGCAATGGCTGTTCCTTAATTAGGCCGTTATGGCACTCCCACGTAACTAGGCTCCTAGCCAAGTATGGTGGTACACATTGGAGAGATGACGGGCGGGCTTACGCCAGATCCCGCTACGGTCTTCTTGATTATGTCTTAACACCGGGTGCAGGTGTGTGAGGGATTTACTATTGAGGTAGATGCAGCGAGAAGGTAAAGCAAATGGTTTCCAAAGGACGACGGGACTTTGAGAACGATTTAATTTGTCGAGCTGTCAAAAACCAAAAGGTGCTATACAGTTATTTAAGGAAAAGCACACGCAACAGAAACCCGATTCCTGTTATGCAAAATGATGATGGTCTCGAAAT